AAAAAATGGTTATTAGGCTTGATTATAATCGCTTAGGTTAGTTAAAAAATATTTATAAGTAAAAGTCGCGGAATAGGGATATTCTAAATGAAAAATCTGGCCGGAACCTAAATATATTCCCGCATGTCAATAAGTTAAGCATTTAATTTTGCTATTGTGTTTTTTGACCTTTATTATATCTAAGGGTTGAAGGCACTCATTAGATTTAATTAAAGAAAAAGATATTTTAATTTTCTGAACCAGAGGCAAAGGTTTAGAAAGAGATAAAAATTTGGGAATAAAAGATAAAGCGGGATTGTCTTGCTTAATATGTCGTAGTAGATAATGTTCTTCTTTGCTAATTTCCATACTCTTTTGCCAATAATTAAAATGGTACGGGACAAGGGATTTGAACCCTCACGCTTTGCGGCACCAGATCCTAAGTCTGGCGCGTCTACCATTCCGCCAATCCCGCATTAATTAGGCTAAATTTACAAAAATTAAATCTAAATGGTGCTGATTAGAGGAATCGAACCCCCAACCTACCGCTTACAAGGCGGTTGCTCTACCAGTTGAGCTAAATCAGCCTATAAGTTTTTTTTAATATTCAAGGAGAACAACCCGAATTTTTTGCTGGATTTTACTCTTACTAATATTAATTTTACCGCGACTTTTACTTATAAATATTTTTTAACTAACCTAAGCGATTATAATCAAGCCTAATAACCATTTTTTAGCAATTTGACTAAAAAACACGTGGTTGAACTTCATTATTCGTATAACTTATGTTTTTTTATATTTGCGCACCTCCATAATTATTAATTATAAGTAAAAACATATATAAAAGGAAAAATAAAAACTATGAAAAATAATTTTAAATCATGTAAACAGTGTAGCCAAGAGTTTACTCCCGCCGCAGTTTATCAAATTGGGATAAAAGATAAAGGATATTTCTGCCGTGAATGTGCGAATAATATTAAAAGTTGTTGTATGTGATGTGGTCAGAAATTAGCCACGAAAAAGTGAACCAGAAGCGGTGGATACGAAACCGAATCCGAAGCGGGAAAACTCGCCGCAACAATGGACCTTGATAATTTAAATGGAGAAAAACATCATTTATACTATTTGCTTTGCGAGGAAAAGAAAGAACATGGAACCCGCCCTAATAAAAGTTGCCCCTCGCGATTTAATGACTGGCGAGTAGAAAAAGGAAAGCAAAAACGCCAAGCAAAATTGAATAAAGGTTGAAAAGAATGCTCCGGTAAAGCCCTTTATTATCCAGCCGATTCCACCACGGGAAGAAACGAATTTAGTATGGATTGCTGAAAACTGGTTCCGCCCGGAGAAAAATATTGTAAAGACGAGGGGTGTATTTACTTTACGGCCGTGTATAATGGAGACCATTCGGCGGAAAGAAAACGAATAGCCGACAAGTGAAACCGCCGCGACCAAGCAAAATATCAAAAAGCTAATGAGTGGTGAAATTCATTAAGTTTAGCCGAAAAACAAGCCGAATTACAAAAAGAAGAAGAAAAGTTAAAAAATTTAGGATTACAACGCCAACGCTGTTGGATTGAAAGAATAGATAAAAATAGTATTTTATTTGAAAATGATAAATTGTATTACGATAATATGGATAAAATTCCCCCTTCTTTTTTAGACCGCTTTGGTTTGCCCGGCTTCCGCTGAGAAAGTGTATGGAAAAATGACCGCCAATCAACTAACAGCCTCCAAGCCCAGGCCAAAATTAATAAAGAAATAGACAGTAAAATAACTTCCTCCCCGCAAGTCCAAAAAAATGGCGAGAGCAGAATAACCGCCCAGTCAGAGCAACCAATAGAAGAATTAAAGATTCAGCAAAGCACTATCCAGCCTGCTAATAATTATGTTTGGTGAATTAGCGGCGGAATAGGAGTAATATTATTAAGCGGAATAAGTTGACTTATTTGGCAAAAGCAAAAAAAGGTTAATTAACTATAATTAAAACCAAATAACGAATGAAACAAAAAAATTTTTATCTTACCACTCCCATTTTTTACCCTAATGATAAACTACATGTAGGACACGCATATACTATGAGTATGGCGGATATTATTGTCCGCTACAAAAAAAGTCAAGGCTATACTGTTTATTTTCAAACTGGTAGTGACGACCATGGAGAAAAAATTGCCAAAAAAGCTGCTTCATTAGGAATAACTCCTCAACAATTAGTGGATAAAAATGTCTTACTTTTTCAACAATTATGACAAAAATTAGGTATTTCCAGCCACACTTTCTATCGCACTTCTTCGGCTCAACATAAAGAAAAAGTCCAAAAAATCTTTACTAAACTGTTGGCCCAAGACGATATTTATTTAGGAAAATACCACGGTAGTTATTGCGTTCCTTGTGAAGACTACATTCGCGAAAGCAAGGTGGTTAATAATTGCTGTCCTTTTTGTAATTCTCCTCTGCGGACTATTGAAGAACCGGCTTATTTTTTAAGAGTTAGTAAATATTATGCCAATCTAACTACTTATTATGAAAAAAATCCGTATTTTCTTTTGCCTTCCCGAGCTAAAAAAGATTTGTTTGCCAATTTTTTGCAAAATGATATTCGTGATTTATGTATTACTAGAAGCGATATTGAATGGGGCATTCCCGTTCCTAACCATAAAAAAATGGTTATTTATGTGTGGTTTGAGGCTCTGCTTAATTACCTTAATTCGGAAGCAGGAGCATTTTTTTTTACTGCTGAATTTCCTCGTGAAACAAAAAATTCCCCAGCTCCCGATGTCGCAACCGAGTATTTACTGAAAAAATCAACTGCTAAGGAAATTATTCACCTTCTCGGAAAAGAAATAACCCGTTTTCATGCTATTTATTGACCAATTATCCTTTTTTCATTGTCTAAACGGTTACCGGACAAAATTCTAGCCCATGGTTGATTAATTACCCCCCAAGGAAAAATGAGTAAAAGCAAAGGTAATGTTATTGACCCACTAGAATTATTAAAAAAATATCCTTCGGACCTATTAAAATCTTATTTGGTAGCCAAAGTTAACTTTTTACAAGATGGGGTATTCAGCGAAGAATTGCTAAAAGGATTTCACCAAGATTTTTTTGTGCATAATTTGGGTAATCTTTGCTCCCGGGTAGGAAAAATGGTTGAATTATATAATAATGGTCTGGTTCCTGATTTTGCCGAAAGCGAAAATCCTTATCTAAAAAAATATTATCAAACTTGCTTGCGGACTATTGGAGAATACCAAAAATTAATGGATAATTATCAATTAACTGCGGCTTTTCAGGAAATTCAAACCTTACTGGATTTGAGTAATAAATTAATTCAAGAAATAGAACCCTGAAATTTGTTTAAAGAAAGCCAGGTCCACGAAAAAAAGTTAGAATTAAATACCACCCTTAATTATTTAATTAACGGGATTAAAATTGTTGCTTACTTATTAAATCCGGTAGCTCCGGAAAGTAGTCAAATGGTTTTGGAACATCTAAATTTAGTGCCTAAAGATTGTAGTTGAGAAAATATTCAAGATTTCAACCAAATCCGCAACCAGCCAATAAAATCCTTAGCAAAACCGCTGTTCCTTCCCCTTTAACTTAACCAATTTAACTTTCCTGTTGGTTTTTGTGATTAATTGTTTTAAAAAGTTGCCTTTTTGTCCTGCTGCTTAAAAATAGAATTATGGAAAAATTAGTCCAAAAAAATAATATATGGCTCGGAAAGCATTAATTGAAAAAGCTAAAAAAACACCCAAGTTTCCGGTAAGAAAATATAACCGCTGTTTTAATTGCGGGCGTTCACAAGCCCTGCGCAAATATGGATTATGCTTGCGTTCTTTTCGGGCCTTTGTTTATCAAGGATATGTACCGGGTTTTCGGAAAATTTCTTGATAAAACACAAAGATTCGCAAAAAATAAAAGGCATATAATTGAAATAAATTTTTTTTAGCAATAATTTTTGTAGTTCAAGAAAGAGATTTTTTTACTCTGTAAATAAAAAAACACCAAATTTAAATTAAAGAATTACACTCTTTTTGTTCTAAGCAAGTAAAAATTAATAATATGGCGGAAAGCAAAATAAAAGATAAAAAAATTCAT